AAATATATAAGGACCTAAAATATGTAGTGCTCTTTGCAGCCTGTATATTTGGACTTGGATTTAAAAAAAAAACCCTAAATAATGGATGTTCCGCCACCGTAAGAAGCTAACCAGTGATATCCTCAGATGACCCCATATTCATTCTCAAGCCCTATATATTGAAGTGCTTTGAAGGTTAGGTTTACATGTAGTGCATTTTTGTATATTGAAAGAGAAGTTTGACATAAGACAGTCCTGCAGAGAGCTCTACTCCCCTGCGCTTCATGAACAAAATGTACATGTTCCTACTCTGTTTTTTCATGTTGTACATTTTGCTACAAAAGCCATTAACGCTATATGAAATTGTCTAATATTTCCAGTAACGATTTTACTTTCATTTTAACTGAAGCTAAAATAGCTGCAATGGAAATGTTTTTGTAACATTCAAAACATTCCTAGGTATTTTTCTGAAAAGTCTTGTTTTAAAAGGTTTATTAAGTCTGCTAGGTATTATTATTATTGAGCCCCAAATAAAAATAATGTAGTAGGGACAAAGTGTAAATACTGATAAAATTATCCCATATAGTTTATGAAATATCTATTTTAGTTAACATTCATCATTCAGCTAAATCATTAGATGCCATGCCTTAGTGTTATAGCTGAACGTGGTCTCACTAATCTTTTTAAAATAGTTTTTTCTGTGTATTAGTTTAAAAAGGAAAACCGAATGTAGCTCAGCCATACAAAATAGCTTCCTGCACTAGAAGCAAGGGTTATTTTTTAGAAAAAAAATGTTAAAAGTTTATTTTAGATTTTGTCTTTTGTGATCTTTCACCTTTCAGATTGACAGACAGTGTGTTGAAACAGACTGTAAGGAACACTGTTTTAAGTGGTTATTACTGAGGTAAGTGATTTTATGTTTTGGCATGCCTTAGTGGACTGTATATTTTTTGAGATATATTACTGAATTGAGAGATTCAATTTGTGGACCTGTCTGATTCATCACTTCTCAAGGTATTCATAATATTCCTTCATGGGATGAATCGTACTTGGTAGCACTGCCGTTTCCACTATTTATTTATATATTCTTAAGTGAAATGTAAAATGAACTGCATGGCTAAGAATCCTCATTTTCTTGTTAGATTTCTTCAGTTCACATTGATAAGATCTGTTTGAATAAATGGCCAAACTGGCATAAGTTATCATTTTTGGGGGGAGAAGGATTGGAGTATTCCTTCCTTTGCATTTCAACCATGTAGAAGATCATTGGATCCGGAGAAAAGAAGTCTTCTAAATTTCAACCACTCTAGTGCATTGTTCCATGGAATGGAAAGGCCTGTAAGTCAGTTTTCAAAAACTCCTTATTTACTATATAGGCTTGTGTTAATTTTTATTGTGGTATTATTTTGATTTGTTACTTTTGGAATGAGGTCAGGGTCATATAATCCTATGCAGCATATAATTAAAGTATTTTTTAAAAATCTACAGTAATCAGGATCTAAAGAATTATTGAACTTGTTCCATGAACCCAAAGGTCTCACCTTTGATGAAGCAATAGTTCTTCCAGTTTGAAGCTGAGGGGATTTTCAAAGACAGTTTGTGAGATAGTGTGAAAGTCATTATATGTCAGCCTTACCAGGTAGACCAGACAGGAAACATGACCAAATGAGCCAATTCTACTTTATTGTATGGCTACATTAACAGAATCTTGCAAGTCTGAAAGTACAAATCTCCTTTACAGCCTGAGAAGCTAGGGAGGGTCCCTTATGAGCCTCTTTCTCTGCCCATTATGCAGCTGTGGGCCGTGCTATCTCTTATCTGACTGTTCCCTAGGCAGCATCTCTTTGCCCTCTCCCCCAAGGTGTTTCCCACATACCATTACGTTATATTGGCCTAGTACAAAAGTTCCATATACTTCTAACCTCTTTGGAATTTAAAACATACCCATAAAGGTTAAGAACAGCAATTTTAGTGCATCTTGCTCTACATTTCTAAAGCCTGTTTACTTATCATGCTTAGGAAATAAAACTCTATTTGCCTTATTTTACGGGACCATTTTTTTTTGAAAATCTGTGGAAGCAGTACATAATTCATGCATTCATTAGAATGGTGCAGTATATCATGAGATAAATACAGTAGAGGAAAAGATTTAGTGATTTGGTATCATTGATCTTAGGCTTGCACCTAGCTCACGTTGTGGAATAGCATCGACCAAAACATACTGTTTTATATAGAAAGGTGCTTTGTTTCCTTCTGCATTTATGTGGAGCTGTATTAGAAGAGTTTCTGCCATCATGAAGGGAACCATTTTTATGTGGGTATTATATTGTAGATGAAGTGTTTGAAACACCTCTTATAGTTTATACAGAATCTGTTTATAAGGATGATAAAGTTAATGCTGAGAATAAATACTGTTCTTCAGAATAAATGTTTGAAAGATCAAGTTGGTAACACAATAAGCAGAGGAAAGATAAATTCATGTGGGAGTTCTATTTCACACATTGGTTTCTTTTTATTATGTGTGAGAGAGGGAGGAGAGATGGGCACATACAGATTTTATTATTTTGGCATTAAAATATAATATTCTGATGCAGTTATGTCAAATGACATCTTGTATTGTTTTCTGTGTATTTTTTATTGAAACTTTAGTCTAATTTTTTTCTGTCATTAAGTTACATCATTATCATCATCATTCCTTTTTACCAGGTTTGGAATCCAAAAGAAAAAAGGGACTTGGGGGCGGAGGAACAAGATAAACCATGAATGTTCCCTTAACAGCCATCTATAATGGAAATGATCTGTTCAGGGGAATGAAATATATGGTTGATGATTCTCCCCTCTCTTATTTTGTTCATAGGACATTTTGCTCTGAGAGCTTCTGTGAGAAGGGCATATTGATCCATGTGATAATAGTGGTAGTCAACAGTCAAGATGACAGTTCTAGCCCCAGATTAAACTTTGGGTAGTGAATGAAATCTAATTCCATGTATAACAATTTAGAAATTATAGCAGTGTTAGCTCTGAGATTTAACTGGATTTTTCAGAGACAAGGATTGGTAATTAGAGATTTTCTTTTTGGCTTTAAGGATAAAATCTTCATCCCATCTTTTTACAGTGAATTAGAGATAGAAACTGATAGCGTGATGCCCATGAGAGGCTTAATATTTGTGTGGAGAATGTTCTTAACATTTTTGTTGGTTATTTAATCACCTCTCTTTCAGCTGTGTTTACATAAGTTTGACCAGAGGAATAAAAGGTTTCAATAATTTAATTATTGAATTTGATTACATCCAATAATTTAAAAGCTTTAAAATAATTTATGTTGCTTTATCATGAATAAATATCATTTGTGTGAAAATATAATCAAAATGTACATTTTTATAAGTGGAAAACACCTCTCACTAGATTTTTAACTATCCAGGTCTTATACAAGCTTACAACATGTAGTAATGGACACAGTACATAAGAGAGAATGTATTAAGGACTAGCTGAAGATTTATAAAAATTAGAGAGAAAATAGGGGTGATAAAAGCATATTTGCCTTTCTGATTTAATAACTGTGTACCTTATTCCTGCAACAAGCATCCACATAGGGAGCAGGGGATATTATGGACAGACAGTAGCTCATGTAAGTGGATTTGTACTTGGCTCTTGTAATTCTTCTATCGCTAAATAAAACGTTTGCTTGTAGTGTTGGATCAAGCCTCTGGCACTTGGGCAAGAGCCTCTTCTCTCCATCCTCTTAATCGGCACAAGAGCTGTTACATTCAGAGACTCAAGGGAGAGCCAGAAATAGCTTCATCGTTATGTAATTCTTGTTTAAAAATCTCCAAGTCCCCCACGCTTGGGAAAAAAACCTAAGATTTTATTTTATCACAAACATAAAATATTTTATTTAGCAACAGTAGTATATAGTTTTACTGGGATCAACAGATTATTTGCAGAGCCTAATAAAAGGGGCGTCTGTTTTGAAATTACATTTCTAATAGACCATTATAAGTATCGGGAATTTTACTTAACTTTTTAAAATGACTGCCTTATTTGTATGGATTCTGCAAAACCTGAAGGCAATTAACACCATATTAAAATGTAACACATTAGTTTAAAATATAAAATCAGATACGGAGTTTAGAATATTCTGCAGAAATGTGACCTGTAAATTAACATCATATTTAACAAAAGTTTTATTTTTACCAGTCAGATTAAAAAAGCTAGTTATCCTGAGCTACATTTTTCACAAGGACATTTTCCTGCAAAAAAGAACCCTCCTTATTGTAAGACTCACATTCTTCTAATATAAATGGGATTTAAGTTTTAAGGAAAGTTGGCTTGTGCTTGGAACAAATTGGAAGCCAAAACATGTTCTCTTAATGCAAATTTTACAGGCTATTAGTGATTTGCTTCTTGTAATTCATGACCTGTCCCATGTTGAATTAACAGAAGGTTTTGAAGAATCTCCAGATGTGGCCCCAATTAGAACATGTTATAATAATTCTTATTGGTTATGAAGCACAAGTATTATTAGGCTTGTAGGATATTTGTCATGGTTTTCTAGAAGCATGTGTCATTAAACAGGAAAATATTTCTGATTGAAGCAGCCATCTAAAGGTCCAAGACCTGCCCAGATGCAGAAGAACCCCACCAATCCCGTTCTTCGCACTTGAAGTTCAGGCTCATTCAGGGGAAACTCAAGTTATGAATTCTCTCAGTCATCTTGAGAGGATTGAGCTTCAACTTATTCACCCTTATCTACTTGGTGCTGATTTCAGTATTTCCTCTATTTTATTGAAAACCAGAAACAGAGCTAAGTTTTCAGATTGTTAGACTAATTGTCTCTGAAATGGTATGTAGGTGTGATAAAGCATAAGGGATAACATAAATCTCATAGGATTGAGCAGCAAGCTTCCAGCAGTAACTGTTGACATCTGCCTGAGAAATAGGAGCAGAATCATTAAAATAAAGTGCTTCCTACTTCCAGCTCTACCATAGGACATGGTATCACAGTCAATAGCACGGAAAGTAGCTGAGATGTTCTGGAGAATCAGAAGCATTATACTTCCTTGTATATCTCCTGGCAGTAAGTAATAATTTAAGCCAAGCAGGATACTTTCAGTCTGAAAACAAGTTTGAGGCCAGTTTGAACTGGATCACCTTAATCTGCATCTTCCAGAAGTCCATAGTGCTGTGTGGCCACCATCTGCTTGATAATGCCTAGGATTATCAGAGAGTATGTGGTAATTATTTAGGTGCAAGGGATCTAAACATCCCCTCCCCTGCAAAATTTTTAGAGTTCCCTAATTCAAGAGAAGCAAGTGATGTATCACCACTATTTATCTAATGCAAGCCATTAGCAATGTTATTTTAAGCACTTTGGTCATCTTTGGGGAACTCAGGTGCCTCTGCCAAGTGAAGTAAGACAAGTAGCTTCAATGAAGAGGTTCTTCTTAGTTGTGGGTCCTCAGCTTATGGAATGTCCACCCTAGAGAGGCATGTCTGACAGTTTGGTGCCATTCCTTCTTGCCAGTATTCTTAGATTTGTAGTGACTACAGTATGATAGTAGTAACTTTTACATTTTATTTGTTTTTCTGTGTTACATATTCATTGTGTTTTGTTGTTCTGGTTTTTAATGTTCTTAGTAATATTTCAATATTGAGAGAGAAATTAAATTATGAAGAGACAAGAATAATAATCACCACCACCACTACTCCTTTTCACAGAGCACATCGGCATGCCTAGAATAAAACACCATATGAAAAAAAAATCACGTGCAACATACATTGGCTAGTTTCAACATAGAAGCAGCTTTAAGATAGTGCCGTGAGGGCATGGCATGGTTTGTTTCCTCCCCTTTTTAAATTGCTTGAGATGCAACTTTTTCATTTGTTGTTATGTGGCTTTGTTAT